GCAGAGGTTTGCAGGGTTTTGGCAGACGCCTGGCAGGTGACTGCCCTTCTCCATCAGAGAACGAACCCTTTGACGTGAAATAAGGCCGGGTTTTGCAAGAGCTGTCAGCGCCGCGCTGGGTGTGCAAACGGCAAGTTCGGCCGGATCGTCGCGGATGTGTTCCGATTTTCGGCTTTTATTTCGGCAGCTAGCTGTGCGCCGCATTCTCGATTTGTACCGAGAGGTGCTGTGTACAGCAGATGCTATGAAATGAAGTGCCTTTGGGGATGAAAGCTGTACAGGTGTTACGGGGTTTTCCCCCCGCAATTTCTGACCTGTTATTATTTACGAAAAACCTTGACGACCAAAGGCTGCCCTGAATAAAATATTCAAGATCAAAATGGCCAGTTTCTAGGCTTGGGCTCTAATTTCCCACTGCATAGAATAGGAGTTATTTCCATCCAAGTTTGAATTGCACTCGTGTAATTTAAGAGCCAGGCCCCAAGCTTCTGTAGGCTGTGTCTCAGCTAAGCAGTTCTAGTCCTTCAGTCCCCCCAAATGGATCCCTTAGTGTAAAAAAATTGCTAGCTTTTGCAAAAGCTTTCCAAATGCAATGCATGATTCCGAGTGCCTTGTCTAAGCTAATGCAAAGCAGCTCATTTGGACCATATGATGATTAAAACGCTAGTGTAAGTGAGTATCCCAGCATGCCCATGCTCTCCCACCATTGCTGCTAGCAATAAAACTGCAGTATTGGTGACAGCCTTCAGAAATCATAGAAGATCATCCTGGTATAGGTCTTGCTATAGGAGTTTACAGATGCAGTTCCTGTCCAGTGCGTTTTATGACCTTGTGTGAACCCTGTTGCATAACAGTTGTAACTTTCATTGCTCAGGGTGTTGAAGGAGTGATTAAGAAGCCTGTCAACTGACTGTAGAAAAAAAGATACTTCCTCTTGATATCAGATAAGTTAGTCTCTCTTCTAAGATGTTTTGATAAACTGAATCATGCTTTGTATTAGCTAAAAGAAACAGTGAGTCACTTGAGAAGCAAAGAGCGCAATTCTCCGATCATTCTGGTCTGCCAAAATAATACAGATAGTACACACAAATGTGATAGCCAGGTACTTTGCTACAGAAAATATAAAACACCATTCACAGAAACTGTGTGGAGGGAAGAAATATTTTGCTATGCTATAGAGAAGATGGTGAACATTGATTATCAATAGAATTTTGTAGCTTACTGTTTCATGTACATATTTTTTTATATATATATATGTAAAACACGTCCCTTGTAAGCATTAAAAATTTCTGCGCAAAGACGGATAGTTGGGCTGTGCTCTAAATGTAAGAATGATAAAGGTAACAGTACCATGCTATGCGTTCACTGTGCTCACATGAGAAATCAGATCCACGAGTGATGAAATGCTAAGTGTGTAGCAATAGGAGAAAGATGTGGCTTGACTGTATTGTTATTAGTTTCTGTATTGCTATTTTTATTTGGTGGAAGGAAGTAATGAAAAATGGAGAATAATGATTCAAAAGGCCGAGAAGCTTATAACCTGAATCGGTTCTGTAGACATTGCTTTGAAAAGAGCATTGAAAAAAAAAAATTGTGTTTTCCATAATGTTTCATTGCAGGTATAGATTTACTAAGGTGGGAGGAAGGGGGACTGTAACTCTCCTTCCTCTGCTGCTAGCACCACTCCTTGTCACATGATGCGCCTGCACAGTCCTCTGTTCACATTGCAGCTGTGCTCAGCCTGGTGCATGCCATTTAGATTTCTGCTCTTTTTTGCATCACTTTTATTCTGGTTTAGCTCTACTGGCTTTAAATAGAGCTGTTGATAAACTGCAGTAGTATAAATGGATAATGGGAATTAATTCGATCATCTGGACTCATTACTTTGTTGGCTTATGTTTTGCTGTGTGTGGCATGCATGAGGCAAGGGAAGAAGAGTTCTGGTGTGAAAGTCTAAACTATTCTGAGGTGATGTTTCTGCCCAAATAGCTAAGACTTAGCTGTGTTTTCTTTTTTCTTTCTTTCTTTCTTTTTTTTTTTTTAAGGGCATCATACAGCTGTCAGTTTTATGACATAAATCTGTGTGTTGATGTGACTTTTCAAATAAATGTCCAGTCGGAGTAAGCTTTGTAAAAGGAAAACCAGGACCTGTACAGGGAAATTTTATTTTAATTTTCTTTGGTAATCTTGTCTAAGGACATTCTGCAGGCTTGCCTGTTACAGCTGAGTTGCTCTCTTTAAGCACATACATTCTATCCTGGATATGTAGTTTTTATATAGGCTAGAAACAGAGGCATGGAATGGGGTATGTGTTGCAGCAAAAGGAAGTGGTTTAAAGGAGTGGACTGAGTTGTGTGTGGGAGCTGCATGGAGGGTCAAGCAGAGGTCTGTTTCTATAAAGTATGCAAGTTAGTTGCCAACACAAATATTACCTAGCGGTTTACATGTGCTGAGAGAGCCCAGCAGACCCTGTAATGGGAATACAATAGAATAATCATCAGTCTGGTTCTCTGAGGATGTCAGTCAAGAAGGGAAGTGTGTTATGCCAAAAAGCCTGAGTGGAACAGCAGGTCCAGAGGATTCCTTGTTTGAAATATTTTAAATTACTGCTATTATTATATCTGAAGAAAGACTAGAAACCGAGTTTCTTTGTATAATTAAAGCAGAAGTTGGCAGAGAGATTTCTCTGCTACGTGGCAGAATAATGGTCCAGGAGCAATTTCTGCTCCGGAGGGTGAATTCCCTGGGTGATGAGACTGCGTGCAATTCTCGTGCTTGCTGGCAGTTTACCTCCAAGCACTGACTAGGGGGAGGAAGTGAATTCCACTGATCACATAGGTTTCCTTAGCTTGTACTGCATTCTGTTTTGTCAGAGTTAAGATTCCAGTTGGAAAGCAGCCATTAACACCTTGGCTGAGAATGCTAACGAGATATAGAGTGTGGTGATAACTGCCCTCCAGTTTGGATGATGCTGGCCTGAACTGCCATTTGGGCTAGCAAGTAAATAATTTGACATGCTAGAAGGACGTCTCCTAATTCCACACAGGCAATTCCTAAATCCACATTAACATCAAGTTTCCTCATATAGCAACCTTCTTCTGTTTGAACTAATGAGCGTATATCAAAGAGTTAAAAAATCAGTGGTTTTCTGAGAAGAGAGGGAATAAAAATCTATCCTGTAACTCAGATGCTTTTCAGGAACTTGGCCGCTCTAGATGGGAGAGGCATGTGCTTTTCCACACTGCTCTAGGTGATGGCTTAGTTCAAGGGGGCCCGGATTTGGCTCAGTCAACAGTTGTGTTGGCGTCTTGCCATCAAACGTGCATAAAATGGAGCTAGCCGCAACTCCCTCCTCACTCTAATATGGAGGGGCAGCCCAGAGAGACCTGAGGCCCCAGTATGCTTTGCTGTAGGTTGACTTGGCTATGAGAATTATACTGTGATGTGCAATTCCTGCAGCATGAGCTGTATGGTGACTTGATAGTTGTTTTCTAGTCCCTGAGTTGTATATTGGTGTCTTATCATGTCAGCTAATGCATTTCAACTCTTGTTGTGCCTGTGCTTCCAAAATCTGTCTCCCTCCTCACAGTGGCTTATGTACTTTTCCAGATGTATGAGGTTCATGTCTCATTTGCAGACTCTTCCTATTTTTTTTTTTTAAACTTATGTGCATTGCCACAAAATCAAGAAAAAACACAACTGGCATTTTAGCTGCTCAAAGCACATTGTATATAAATAAACTGAATAGTTTAAGTTTAGCTTGTGAAATGTAAATACACACAACTCAGCCTGCAATGGCTGATGGTTTTTTACCTATCTTCCTTCTTCCTCTCCCATCCTTTCTGAAGGTAGACTAGTCTGATGTTCTTCTTTCTCTCTCTCTCTCTCTTTTTTTTTTTTTTTTTTTTTGTCATTGCTCTTTCATACCGTGCAAATTACTAATACTGTGTAGGTGGCATGCAGGAACCACTATAGGTTCATGATTTGAATTGAGAGTGGATGAGAAGAAATACTTGCATCCTCTTCCACGTAGCTTCTGAACCATCTTCTGGGGATTCCTGGACTCTGATGACACAGAAACTCTGTCTCAGTGTCTGACCTGAGCTACTGAAAATAAGCTCAAGCTCAAACTAGTTAAGTCGGTAAAAGAACAGAGGCCAACCGTGATGACATTTTTAGCCTTTGCCCTTTTTTCATCCTATATACAAGAGGTCATGAACTGCAGGGAACGAGGGATCACAGAGGGCACAGGATTGACAAATGCAGAACAAATTGCCAGTGGCAGAAACATAAAGACGAGAAGCAAAAGTTTTGCGTTGTGGAGATAATTGAAAATGGCCTTATGCATTACATGATGATATCCATGTCTCTTGTTTTTAAAGTGAGGCTGTTTGTAGTGATTTTAAAAGAACGCTGGTAAGGCGTGGCTTAGATGATATCGTGATGCAGAAGACAGGGTTGGAAGGGATAGCTTTCTGTCTCCATGATATGATGCTAATGAGTAGCTCCATGTTGCTCTGAGGGTTTAAAAAAAACGGCCAAGTTATCTTTCTGGATGCAGACAGGTCTGCTTTAAGCAATAAAAAGTTTCTTTTTTTAAGCATAAAACAAATAAAAAGCCTAATTCTATAGTCTAAGCATTTGTTTCAAACTAAAATAATAAGGTTGACTCTACATTCTGGATATTATTTGAATTGGATTTCATTTGAATTGGAGTGGGGTAGAATCTGTAGTGTTGGCTGTTTCCCTATGAGGAGTCTTCAGACTGTTCCTGCAAAGAGGTCAGAAGTAATGAGGAGGAGGCAGCTCATGTGAACTTTGAGGTCTTAATATCAGACTGTATTTGCAAAACTTCATGGTCCTCTGATATGCTGAGGAATGAACTAAGCCCTCATGCAAAAGTATTAAACTTTCAGTTAGTAGTAACTGCTGATTATGTAACTGTGTGTGCTTGCTATCTCTTAGCTACATGTGCTGGGATAGTGTAGGTCTGGAGAATTCTAAATTCATGGTTTCATCTTGTTTTCCTATATAGCCCCTTCCCTCTTCTTTCCCTTTTTAGGAAACAAGCTTTATGCAATTGCATATTCAGGCTTCCTCCTTCTTCTCCAAGTAACGTTTCGATCATTTGTCCAATGTAACTAGCATTGATGTAGGGAGTCAGGTCCTGAAGATTATCTAGCCAGTAATTTTAATGGAACTTGGAAGACGGACGTGTTTAGCGCATGTATTGAGGGGAAAGACAGACCGGAGAGAGTTGTTACATGCTATAAGGAGGCCTCTGGCCAGCCAGTCAGCATGTATGTAGCCCTGAGGTGGTTGAAGCACTTCCTTTTGCTCTGTGGGAAATCTGGTTATTGTGGTAGGGAGGGAAAGGTCAACAGGGCCAAATACAGGCTGATATATGGTACCAGGCTTCCTCTCTCCATAAGAGAGAGGATGACTGACTGTGCATATGTGTGTGTGGGTAGTGTCTAAGGCTTGGTAGGTTTTGAATGTTCTTAATCTTTTTAAAAAATGTCTCGCCTCTTGCTCAGTCTGCAGAGCTGCTTAAGTGCTTCTTCCACAAGTTAGCTGCAAAATTGGTATATTTTAGTAGGAAAGCTACTTTCTTGGAGAATTCCCTGTTGCAGGAGATTTTGGGTCAGCCACGTTGCGATTTGTTTACAGAACAGAAGTCTCTTGTTTTTTTACCCTCCTCCTTTATGCTACGTTTCTCCCTGAAATAAACATCCAGGCAGAGAGAGAACGTGATTTGAACAGCATTATAAACTGAGTAAAATAGCTACTTGTTTCTCTTTCCTAAGTTGTATTTGAATTTACTTTTTGTTGTGTTCAAACAAAAAATGCCTCCAAAGCCTGGGCTCTGCTCAGGTGCATTTCATTGTGTATTTTGTGTGCGTGTCTGAACAACAGTGAATTTAGCTTGTGCAGACACAGTCTGATTG